ATGGTTCACATATGCACGGATTGTGGAACAAAGGTGATTGACACATATGGTTTTCATATGTGTTGGTCTTTTCCCCCGGTGTCAGTACTCTGTGCTTCACAGACAATGATATATACACTCTAGGAGCGCTGCAGCTGACATATAAGGCATCACAAAGATTGCGAAAAGGAGAAATATTGTGGTTCTGTGCATCTTGTTTTCACGACTTTTCTGTGATATATAGTTGAATGACTAGTACTCGGAGTGTCCTCGTCGGGATAGTGATTGGTTCGAAACTTGGCAGAGGAAGCGCCGTGCCGCGATCAAGCCGCAATGGTTGATGGGATCACGTCGAATGGCAAACAGTGTCCTTGCGTCAAACGTCCATGGCCTTCGCGGTCTGCCCTTTGCTTCCGCGGGAACTTGAACGAGAAATCTTCGAAACTGCTGCAATGAGGCATCCAAAACTCATTCCTACTCTCCTTCAAGTTTGCCACCGGGTCCACGCCTGGCAAGTGCATGAATGGCTCGATCCACGAGTCGCGACTGACTTGAATGTATACAGGGTTGAGCCGCTGCTTTACCGGGTGCTCCTTCTTGAAAACTTCAGTGATCCACAGGTATCCGCCGTCGAACACAAATCTCCCTCGTTCCTGCACAATTCTGTGCGCCACCTGTTTTTCTCCACCGACGCCAGCATCTGGGAGCTGATCCAAGAACGTCTGCTTGGATGTACTCGGATCATATCACTCTTTATTCTCGGTCCATGGAAACCAGAGTTTCTTCTGGTCCTCGAGAAACTGCGACCGCAGAAGCTCTATCTTTCGGTGCCGCTGTCGACTTCTGAATGGGCACAATCAACCCTGAATCAGTCGCTGTTTCTATCCATAACGCACTTGGAGCTATTCAGGGGTGACGAATATGACAATGGTACGACTTGGGAGGATTGGGCGCAGCTTGCGACACTGCCTTCACTTACGCATCTATGTCTATCTAAACCGCTAGCCCGAGACATCTTATCGCCCTCTATCATCGCCTGCCCCCGACTCGTTGTCGCAATCGGTAGCTTTGGGGATTTAGATCAGACCAGCGCCCGTGAATTTGCGCAGGGCCTTACTATTTCCGATCCGCGCCTAGTTATTATGGCGATATTGATTTACAAGGAGGATTGGGAGATAAGCGCACAGGGTGGTGATGATTTTTGGTCGCGGGCTGAAGGATTCGTGGCCCGGAAACGCAGGGGGGAAATTGAGAGTGCGTTATTGTCCATCCCTCCTCGCCATAGACTGATTCGGTTCATCAGACTCGTGCTACTTTCTCCAGGAGAGTACCCCGCTACCCACAACTACACTTCCCCTCGCTTGAAAGCGCCCCAAGGAATCGCAGACGTCGGACGCTTCTCTTTGCAGCCTGATTACGTCCACACATAAGGCGTTGAAGAGTGGGGGGAAGCTGGCTGGGTAAATGTGTTGATCCGATGGTGGTAGATTCATAGGTTGGGCTGGGCTGCGACAGGTGGGGTGCGAGCTGATATCTGTGATGTATTTCAAATTATCTCGGTTCTGCGCCTCTGATTTTTCGAACTGTTTTTGAGCAGTTGTTGGACTCGAACGGACGTCTGCTGATCCAATTTCTTGACCGGGGGCGTTGGTCCTTTGTCATGAACGTCTCAGGCGCTGTCCTGTGCCGTGATGTTCGAGCGCCCATCATGGACCCATTGCTTCCTGTAGAGCTTGAACGAGAAATCTTCGAAACTGCTGCGATGAGGCATCCAAAACTCTCTCTTACTCTACTTCAAATTTGCCACCGGGTTCATGCCTGGTACGTCTTTTCATGACCTTTTGTCATCTGAGACTCCTTCCCATAGATGCCTGACTTTTCTGCTAGAGAACTTCGTAGTATCAGCTGGTGCCAGGCTCATATAGCTTTTTTTCGATGGGGAATTCCGTTTCGATCTTCTCCTGGTGCTAGGCTACATCTTTCGGTGCCATCCGCTACCGACTGGCCCGGAGCTCCTTGGACCCCATTGGTTTTGAATAGCCTATTATTGTGATTCATCACCCACCTGGAGTTATTCATGGACACTGGTGAAGACCCAAGGTGGGAGCCCGGGAGGGAAACTCGTCCCCGCTTGCTGCTCTTACGCACCTCTGTTTCTCGGAAGAGTTGGCCGTAGACATCCTGCGACCGGCTCTTGTCGAAACTGATGGTTAAGGTTTCCACCTTTTGGGTTTCCGTGAACACAAACCATATCTGAGACTTTGCCATGGGTCTCGCTGATCCACGCGTCGTTACGATGGTAGTGGACTACAAGAGTGATTGGGAAACAGGTGCACAGGGTGGTGATGGTTTTCGGACGCGCGCAGAAGCATTCGTGGCCCGGAAACGCAAGGGTGAAATCGAGTGTGCGATGTTACCATTCAAACCTCCCTCCAAATATGCTAATTCGGTTGCCTCAGGCTCGTGGTACTTTCCGGATGAGAACGCCATATCACCTACTCTAGATGATGCATTTGTCCTTCAGTGGCCAAAGGAATTGCAAACGTCGAACCCTTTTTTGCGGGACGATTACATCCGCACATCCTGTCTTCTGCTCAAATAATCTTGGACGTTCAAAGAGAAAAAACATTTCCGAATCAATGTAATCATCGTACGCACAAACACAATCTATTACGCAAACCTTTAAGCGCCGCGTCCCTCGCGTTCTTGCCGGTGTCTTTCACTTCAGTACGCAGTGGTCGTTACCACTCCGGCTTCGTACGCCTTCCACGAAGGAAGCTCCACGAGTTCCTTGTACCAGCTGGTGCGGACCATTAATGCGTGCATCAAATATATGATTGTAAAGTTGGGGCTCACCGCGCGACGTTAGGCTTGCGAGTCAAGAGATCGGTCCCGCCAGCTCCGATCATCGGCGCGTACGGGACGTGAAACAGGTCCACGAGGGTAAGGTTCTGCATTGCATCGTTGGATCAGTATCTGTGACATCGCTTGCTATCGACCAAACCGACGTACGTCTCCCGCGAGATAGCGCTGCTTGGACAGAATGACATCGTACGCATCAAGCTTCTTGTCGAGGATCTCAAGCTGCGCGTCTACGAGCGCCTGGTCCGGCACTGCTCCGAAGTACGTCCTGCAGAGAGGTGAGTGACTCATCGAATAATGGTTGGCAGGACGTTAAACATACTGTTTGAACAGCTCGATCGCGATGAGGCTCGCACTGGGGTCGAAATTCGTGAGCTCCACCGACGCGGCCTGCTCAAATATCGCGTTCGCCTTGGGCTCAGTGGGAATGAGGCCCCGCTCGGAATACTTCGCGGCGACGTAACGGCAGATCGCGCGCGTCTCGTACAGGATGAAGCCGTCGTCGTCCTGCCCGTGCCCGCCGTCAGCAACAAACTCAAACTGAGGATTAAATATGGAGGGAGGGCGCACAATATAGGGGATCTGGCCGAACGGCTGGTTTTTCAAATAGGCGGGGGTCTTGTGTTCCCCGGCCATGAGGTCGATCTGGATGAGCTCGAAGGGCACTTTGTGCTCGTGGAGGACGGTCGCGACGCGGCGGGTGCACATCGCGATCTTCGCGCCGTAGAGTTTGAGGATTGCCATTGGAATCGTTTCAGGGTTTACTGTAGGAACTTGAAGGAATGGGGCGGGGAGGAAGGATATCGTTCACTGATTCCCAGAGGCACCTTTTAAACCCCAGCGGTCGGCAAAAATGAGCTGACATCTTTTACTCATTCAGGTATCAACACGAAAAGTTAACCTCCCGAAGGCTTACCAATGGTTGAGTTACGACGCGGCCTTCCGTATGCTGGATTGTCGGCTAGTCAAATGTGGCTTACGAGGCGAAGAAACGGGTGGACCCGCTCCCGTTTAGCCGAATTTTACCGTAGCGGGCTTCCGTCGTCGTTCCAATCTATACGCACCCGAGAGCACAGAATCCGTTAGCACTGTTCCATCCTGATTTTAGACTAAGATGGCACCGCGGGTACAACGGTTATACGCGAATCAAAGGCCAAGTACTATGTGGAGCATGTCGCCCGTGCTACGGAAGGTCGATCAATGTTTCCGCCGGTATAGAGCGTCTTGATGCAAATCTTCTTCGGCTTCAGATTGTGCGGAACGCTCAGCAGGTCGCGTGCGCCTCTCCCCCATTCTTCCAGGGACGGATACTCCGGATTTGGTGCTTCGCGATATGCAAACTCCAGGTAGCAAAGGTTCGTCATCGCGCGCATGAACGCAAAATCAGTCTGGTGCTATCGATAAGTCATTTGTGGGCACACATGAATTAGTACAATACCGACCACGATAAGCATGCAGCACATTATCAGGCGTGGCCACCGCAATCCCTACAGAAACGAGTAAATTGGCCGTCGAAAATGCTGCGGAATACAGAAACGAGGTTCGCACATCCTATCATTTCGCGTGAAAAGCGTGTATGGTAGGTTTCTTCAACGGATAACCTACACTCTTTAGCGGCTTGATGGGCATCGCCACTGATCAGGTGACCGCGTAACTCAGAGTACGTCAATCGCCTGAGCGATTTCAGGGCTCTTCTGAGTCTAGTTCCCCCCGAAAACATCGCGGACGATGCGTTTCACACCTCTCATAGATGCGTCGCCATCTGTCTCCATCAATCGCACTGTGTGTGGCACAGTACCACGAACTCGGGCGTATTTCGGGACTTGGAAGAAAAAACACCTCGGCCCCACTCCAGATATATTTTCAGGACCTGGCACAAAGCGTCGAATCAGTTCTCGACGAAGCTGGCGCCGATGACTGGAAGACGGCGCAAGCATATCCCTCTGAGATCCACGTTGAGCTACTCAAAGCTGGCTTGACCTGGCGGCATCTCTCGAAAAACGATCGTTGGTTTTAGTCACTCGTGTGCACAGCGATAAATTCGAAAAAAAAAATGGGGAATGCTGGCAGAAACCAAAGCTCTGTGAGATCAACGGGCCGGGGAAACTCTAGGTCCGGTATCTCTCTAGAAAGCAACAAAAATGACTTCCCATGTTTAATAGCAGCAACTCGTTTCGATCGAGTGACCTCGGGGTTTCACAATAAAGTATGGGCCCCGCGCGCTTCCAGACTGCGCCATGCTGCTATTGCTGAAGGAAGAATTTTTTTTATGTGTCGTATGAAATTCTAAAACAAATTTCAGAGCACGTCGCTAATGAATATCGCGATCAATCTCTCCACCGCGGTGGACACTGCTCACCAAGGTAAATATCCACCAGCTGTCGTCTGAACCCTCTCATCTTGCTGTAGGCATTTGGATGGAGAACGGCAGCGGCGGCTTCCTCGGGGACCTCATTATCAACGGCGGGAAATATGGGATGTGGGTCGGAAACCAACCGTAACACTTTCCTTGAAACCTTCCCGTCTGTTTCGCTGACTCGGCATCAAGATTCACCGTTCGCAATGTCACAATCTCTAACGCACAAACTGCCAACTTTGGATCTCGGAATTGGGGTTGGACATTCCAGGGCGTGAACATCAACAACTGTGGGGTATGCACATACCGACAATATCAGGCAATCATCCGTGCTCATTTCACAACATGTTGGATTTGATTTGGCCATAGGCCTCGTCAATAGTGCTCAGGTTACTTTTCTGTGTTTTCTCTACTCCTGTGCTAAGGATCTAATACCACCAGACGGTCGGCGCCGAGGCGATCATCGATGCAACTGTGACCGACACCCCGATTTTCGTCCGCCCGGGCACTCATCGACGCTGGATCGCTGGTTCTGAACAACATCAAGTTGGACAACGTCCCGGCCGCTGTCGGAGTCATCGGTGGCGCCGTTGTGGAACGACCACGATCACTTCCTGGGGTCAAACAAACATTCACAGAGGATCGGGCGCTTCTGGGACTTTTACGCAGGGGACTATCACGGCCCCTCCTAGGCTCGCTGTTTTGCTCGACAGCGGTAGAAAGATCTTTGGGAAAAGCCGCCCGCAATATGCGGCCTACGCCGTGAGCGAATTTGTCAGTGTTCGCAACCAGGGTGTGAAGGGAGATGGGAACACCAACGACACCGCCGCTCTCAAAGCTATTTTCGCTACCGTATGTTCTTTGATTAGATGTCCTGTCATTTCTCATTTCATTTCTCACGTACTATCTGTCCAGTCGAGCTTGGCACAGCCACACACCGTGTGTCTTTTTTTTGATCGCAACATGTGCCGGTATGCCGGGCCCGACGCCTCCCACTGGCACCGAATAATGCAAGCTGACGCGCCGCTGCGCGGAAATTTGTTGCGCACCTGCCCCGCTGCGTGGAAATTTGCTGTGTACCGCCCCGCGCACCAGATATACACCACCCCTCGCCAAGGCTCGGGGGGCACTCGTCGGCTCCGTCTCCTGGTGCCGGATGCATTATCCTCCACGCGCAAAGGGGCTGGCACCCCTTTGCGCCTTCCAGCTGCGCCATGCTGGGTTACCCCCGGCCGAATTTGAGAGGACCACAGACGGTATCAGAACTCATCAATAGTTCGGGCATAAAAGCATCGTGATATCATGTGCGCCGCCTGCGACGCAATCAACATACATCCAGTCTAGAGGTCCGCTGTATCCCATCCCGCAGTCAGTATTATAATCCAAGGCGACTCGGAGGAATCCACGCACACATGATATGCGCCTTGTCCCGAATATTCGGCCCCGCCGGTCCCGTCAACCTCTCAGTCGAACCCATCGCAGGGACACTCTGCGGTTGCTCGTCCTGACTCCGCCCTTGGAAGAGCGCCGCCTCGCGGTCGCGCTCGGCCATAACCGCCTCCTCCGTGGAGGTGTCGCCCAGCTTCAGCCTGGTGCACCACGCGTCGGGGACTGGGGCCAAAAATAAGTATTATAATTATAATCAGGGTTTGAGAGGGAGGTCGGAGAGGGGAGTAGGTGGGCAGGCGGACAGACATACATAGATCGACGATCCACCGGAGACACACGCTGTTGTTATCGTGGCTGCACAGCGCTGGAAGCAGTTAACACACTTTCGGAATGAGAGCGCAAGTCGGGCTTACAGCAGCATACGCAGCAGGATAAGAGCATACCGCAGCAGTCGTTGTCGGACATTTTGGGCCTGCCTGTGTAGTCGGACGTGAAGGAAAGAAAGAAAGGACGACGGTGGGAGGTATGAGTCAGAGGGAGAGAACAAAGACGAGAACAAAGATGGATGGGTTAAAAAGCTGTGCGTAGACGACACCTGAAATTGATCATTCGCGACTCTATATGTACCCTGAGAGAAACGGGCACAGGTGACCGCCTTTACGGGAGCAAAATCAACGGAGATCCGTCTTAGAACGTTGATTGAAGGCAGTGGCATAGCTCGGCAGACCCGGGTAGGTGTTAAACAAACACGGCCGGCCGCCCCGGGAGTAAGAACGGTGATATATCTCAGAACCACGACTGAGGGTAGCAGCATACCCAGGTAGGTATTATTAAACTGCGACGGCCGGCTGCCGCGGGACTGAGATCGACAGTGATTCGTCTCCGCTTCCCAAACAGCAGCCGGCTTATTCAACAGCACGCCCACGATCCAGACTCTTCAAAAACCCAACCAACTCGCTTGCAAATATTTCGTGGATCTTGCTGGTGGGATGCAGGTGGTCCCTCCACACAACGCCGCCCGCCCGACTCAGATCCCTCGTCGGTATGCCGTACGTCTTTGGACTATCGAGGATGCGATTGAAGGTGTCGAACGCGGAGAAGGTGAGGACCCGCGCGTCTGGGTGGGCAGAGGCAAACTGCTGCACGGACTGGCGAAGGCCAGAGTTCCAGTTGAGGTATGTGGCGCTGATGTCGGAGGAGGCGGCCGTGCCTGTCGGGCGGCAGGTGGGATAAGCGGCGGCGCAGAATCGGTAGAGCGGGGAGACATATATGTACCTGCGGGGCTCCTTCCGATTGGCGGGACGTCGATGAATAAAAATATACGGGCCCCGGCGGCGTACAGTTTGTCTTGGAGGCCGAATAGAAACTCCTGCGTCTCGTCGTGCGTCTGTGCGCGACTAGCAAGAGAACAAATTCAGTAGACTCGTCAGGTGGCGGGATTTGAGTTACCTACGCGCAATCGTTTATTCCGACCCATGTTACTGTTATTGGTGAGCGGAGAATCGACGGGCCACCGAACGGAAAGTGCTCACCAAACAGAGAATCCGCAGCATCCCACGGCAAGCCTTCAGCTTCAGCCGTGCGGTCCATAGCGTATCCCGCGAGAAAGTTCTCATTGACCTGGGTTTCGACAGCGCCGCGGCCGGGGGCCGGAACGCGTGCCCCTCCAACGGCGTAATCGTGCACGAGTAAATCGGGATGCGGAGCGTGCTGCATCAGAAGATATCCTACCCAATTTGTACCGTCAACGTCCGCATACGTCAGGTACTTGTATGGCACGGTTTCGCGGTCGATCTTGGTCGGTGGAGGCAGATTCGCGGCGTATCCGATCGCAGAATAAGAGTCGCCGCTGACTTCACTGAGCCAGTGGCAAGGGGACATCAGATAGGACCCACAAGATGAACAGGTTCTTGAGCGAATTGAATCCCGGCCAGGGGCAATTGTCATTGAAGGACATGTTGGTTATGTTGGAATCTAAGGATCAGTCGCCGAGGCCTGGGTTTATCCGAACGCTCACTGTTGTTAGACTGTTGCTTATTTTTGCCGGGGTTTGTGGCATTCTGTACGGAGTCCGATCGGTGAGCCAGAATTCCCAATTCAACGAAAGTCTTACAGGTCGTTGGAACACGGACAAAAGGTTGGTTGACAGTCGCTTCATCCCGAAGAGAATCAAGATGACGGAGCGGAAAAAACCGAGGCCGTGACGTGACTATGCCACGTCACAGCATCCTATTTAATTCGTATGTCACGCGTCACACCCGATTGTCAAAAACCCTTGCAAGTTGCAATAATTTTTCTCGATTTAGATTTAAAAAGTCACGTGCCATACGAATTGAATGAAATAGAACATACTTACCACGATGTGCTCCACCAGCATCCCGAACTCGCGGTCTCCAACTGCGCACAGTTCCTTCTCATGGTAGGTATCATCTCATGGAATCCAAATCTGACACTCCAAATGCTGGCTGCGTACTCATTCCGCACAACGGCCACCGGCACCACACGTACCCCGAGAATCCGAATACTTGGACTGTCAGCCTGAGTTCTGAAGCTTGGATAGCAAATTACAGTCGTCTGGCAAAATGTCGCGGGCTAATTCATCACTCAATGTCATGGATACAACACTCGAGACCGCTATCCGGATCCGTTTCCGATGCTAACCCTTTGGCAGCTCTTTGATCTGTATCAGCGACTACTACTCCGCTCGATTGCTCGGGTTATTTAATTGACCAGCCAACGAGGCGCATCTAGTCTTCAATGTCCCCCGCCGAAAGCTAGGACCCAGGAACGTCTTCGACATCCTTGGGCCTGAATTGATCCAGATTGGTGTAGATTGATATTTCCGAATCACGGCACTGGTAGTTTAATTTGGAGCAAGGCTATATAATCCACGGCAGCTCTTGATACAGCCGAGTAAGACCCCACATAGAGGCGGTACATGTATCTCGCTTCCACGTCTTACTCTTACCTGCTCCCTGCCCCGTACCATATCCTTCACTGCTAATTTTTCTGCGTTCGTACCACTTCTCCTTGTAACTTCAACTCGGCGGCCTCATGGTGAGTACTGCTGGTCTGACACAGCGCGTAATGGCTTTAATCTTCTAGTCCTCCCAGTCCATAGAAAGTACGTCGAGCGCGCAGAAATCCTCTGCTTCACCTTCTTCGTCAAATTCCCCAACCTCATCGTCAATTTTCCAGCGGTGGGTGGATTTGGGTGTATTTTCGACTTGTCAAATATTCATTCTCGACTCACAGTGTCCTCTCACAGTCCGCCCCTTCTTCATCTTCCCGGGTGTCGAGCGCCTCTTCCAAGATTTCGACAACCTTCTCATCTACGCCATTGCAGTCCAACTCCACTCCCTCCGCTGTTACATTCCAAAGCTCGTCGAGCCAGGTGAGTCTCAGGGAAAAGAACCCCAACGGGCCTCCGAGTTGACCAAAGTTTTAGAGTCCCTCACCTACCGGCGTTGCAGCCGCTCAAGTGATATCCCACTCGCTCA